CATAATGCAAGAGATAAATAAAAAGAAAGGAAGAGAACGAAATAGGACAGGGCAAAGAGAAAAACTCGCAAGTTGAATACCTGTAAAAGAAAAAAAAAAATTGAAAAAGAAAGCTAACAAGATCCCAAACAAAGGCTCCTAAGGCCCCCTTGCCTAAGCAAGGAGGGAGTTCCTTGATGACCTTTGAGAGAGAAAGTGAAAGCTTGAGAGAGAGAGAGAGAGCATTTTGTTCAGATATTTTTTTTACAATTGAAAATTATAATACATCCTGGTTAGGGTTTGATTTCAGTTCGTCCAGTCAATTCCAGACAGATTTTGAGTGTCCATCATACGTATATGTGTATTTGAATTTATTCTCTAAGATCTTGTAAAGGTAAAAAGGGTTTTGAGTGGTTTGTATATTGGGGTATGAGAGTTCGTGAGGATTCTCGTTATTGTAATTGAGTATTGCTAAGTGTGTGCTTCTTGGTGAGGCCGAGTGAGTAGTGCTCCGGGAGTATTACTAGGGATTTGAATCTGGGATTCGATTCAAGTGAAGAACATTTACGTTCTTGGTGAGTTCTGGCTTGGGTAGGAACTAGGTAGTAAGTTTGGTCAAGAACTTGTACGATTGTAATAGGTTGTAACTAAGAGTGTTTGGTCTATTATAATGGATTGGTTTGGTTTGCAATTTCTTGAAAGGTCAACGTTTTACTTTTAGTTAGGCCCTGGATGGTTTCCTCATAAAATCCGCTTTGCATTGTCTAAGTTCCTAGCAACAATCAGTATTGTACTCCGCGAAAATTAGGCACTAAGGAACATAGTATAATTCAACCCCCTTTTTCCAGTATACCATCCAAATAACAGCAACCCGGGTCGAATTCAAATGCAGGCAAACTTAAACTCTCGTAAACTTGGTAGGACAACAAAAAAAAAAAAAACATTGGTCGAGTTTAAGGATGGAAATTTTATATGGATATCCAGTAATCCGCTCCACCCGCTCTAATTAAATGGATGAAAACCCGACTTATACGGATGAAGGGCGGGTGGTGGATGAAACGGATGACGGATCGGGTCGGATTCGGGTGGAACTTTTAGTCATCCGTCACCCGTTTATCATCCACCCGTTTAATTTTTATAATAAAAAAAATGCCCTGAAATTAAATAAACCATAATCTAAATTTCAAGCAGCCACCTTCTTTCATTTTCAATCTCTCTCTACAGTCTACTCTCTCTCTATACCTTTCATTCTTTAGGCTCCACCCTCAGTCCCTCACCGACGACTCCACCCTCACTGGCGGCGACTCAACCATCACCGGTGGCGACTCAACCCTCACCGGCGACTCCACCTCCACCTGCGACTCCATCTCACCTTAGTCACCTACAACGTCCAGCGATTAAGGTATAATTTTATACCCTTTTTTTTTTAATTTCCCTATTTTAATTTGTTCTTTTGACACACCATCTATAAATCTATAATCCAAGAATCGATTCTATGTTTGTGTGTTTCGATTTAACCATTTTTTTTATTAAAGATTGTTAGTTTTTTTATATGTATTTAATTTGTACATAGTTGCATTCAAAATTTTCAAATAAGTAGTAGCTTTGAAATTTGTTTTATTTTTTCTTCTGTATTAACGTTTCTGATGTTTTCAACTTTAGATCTAAAAACTTCAACTTTTATGCCTAATTTTAAATTTGAATAGCATTGTAAATGTTAAATATATATCGTGTAGATATTTTTGTATGTATTTTTTATACTTAGGTATTTAGGCTAGTATCACGCCTAATGAACGCCATTCTCTTGTATATATTCTGACTTGCTTATTGTGAATAATCAAGGAAAATATTCCCCAATTATTTCAGTAAATAATAAAAGATAATTAAAAAAGTTGGTGAGATTATGCATGTTGTACTCTTGCTAAAGCTGCTAGTTTGAACTTGATATTAATCCTATTTTTTATACTTTTGTTATAGGATGATGGGTGATAATAATGATCTTGATTGTGGGTATGATTATGATAACTATGATTCTTCATGCCCCTCATCAAATCCTTCTACTGTACCTACTGCATCACCTACTCCACCACCACCTCCACCTCGTCAACCAAATACTAATCCCTCACAATCTGTACACATGTCTTCTCAACCCGATGAAAGTGAGACATCCACAAGAAAAGCAAGAAAACAGACTTCAATGGTTTGGGAACATTTTCAAAAGATTACAATAAATGGTATGCCAAAAGCTAAGTGTCTCCATTGTGATCATATCTTGTCGGCAATAACCAAAAATGGAACATCACACCTTAAGGACCACATAAATTTAAGGTGTACTAGAAAGAATTCAAAGGTCGATATTCGACAAAAGCTTTTGAGTGTCAACCGCAAATCTGATGGGTCAGCTAGAGTTGAAAATGATAACTTCAGCCAAGAAGTTTCAAGGAGGGAATTAGCTAACATGGTAATTATGCATGAGTCTCCGTTGTCTATAGTGGATCACATTGGTTTTAGGAGGTTTGTGACTAGTTTAAATGCCCATTTTAAGATAATATCGCGTAATACATTACGGGCTGATATAATGAAGATGTTTATGAGTGAAAAGTCGAGTCTAAAGAAAGCATTAGAGAGCAATGGGTCGAGAATAGCTATCACTACTGACACGTGGACAGCTTCAAATCAAAGAAAAGGTTATATGGCTGTAACATGTCACTATATTGATGACTTTTGGGTATTGCGCAACAAAATATTGAGGTAATTCACTCTTACTTTTGATAAGATGCTGATTTGTGTGTTTTTTTTTTTAATGCTGAATTGCTGATTATTGTGATTAATATGGCTAGCTTGTGTTTTTATCTTGCTTAGTTTGGTGCTGTTTTTACTGTTTTATAAGGCTAATTTAGGCTTGTTTTTGGGATTATTTATTGTGTTTTATATGGATTATTTAGGTTTGCTTATGTGCCTTGTCCACATACAAAAGACACTCTTGCTCAAGTCTTGTTGGACACTTTGAACATGTACAATATTGCTGAAAAAGTTTCATCTATTGTGGTTGATAATTGTACTACAAATGATGCTATGCTTGATGTTTTGAGCCCTCGTTTTAATGAACAATCTCTTATGTTGAAGGGTAAATTTTTGCATTTAAGGTGTAGTGCACATATATTAAATCTAATTGTACAAGATGGTCTAGATGTAATTGGTGATGGAATTAAGAGGATACGTGATTGTGTTTCCTTTTGGGCAGCAACTCCAAAACGAGTTGAAATGTTTGAGGATAAGGTGAAATCTTTTGAAGGAGAAGAGGGTAGAAAGTTGGTTTTAGATTGCAAAACAAGATGAAACTCAACTTTTTTAATGCTTACTAGTGCTTTACCTTATAAGGATGTGTTTAGTAATATCAAGTGTCAAAATCCTCGTTTAAAGTTTATACTTCCTACTGAAATGGATTGGGAATTTGCTGAAAAGGTTTGTGAAAAGTTAAAAATGTTTCACAAGACGACTGAAATTTTTTCTGGCCGAAAATATCCTACTTCTAATTTGTTCTTTCGCCAAGTTTGTGAAATTAAACTTGCATTGAGGTCTTGGTTGTTAAGTGATAGTCAACTTATCAGGGATATGACTAAAAATATGAATGATAAATTTGAAAAGTATTGGTCTAATATTAATGGGATATTGGCCATTGCTGCCATTTTAGACCCTAGGAACAAATTAGAGTGTGTAGAGTTTTATTTTAATGACATATATTATGATAAGGCTGGAGATGAAATTGATAGGGTAAAAAACTTGTTGTATGACTTGTTGTATGAGTATCAAGAGAAGGAAGCTAGGAGTATGGCAACTTCTAATCTAAATAATGTGAATGGAAAACGGCCTATTTCTTCAATTAACTCTAATGATGATGATGGTGGAGATAAGTGGAGTAAGGCTAAGAAAATCAAAACAAGGAAAGTAAATGTGAGGTCTGAGTTAGACCATTATTTAGAGGAGGATGCTTATCCGGAGAGTGAGGGTTTTGATATTTTGAATTTTTGGCATATTGAACTCAAATATCCGACATTACAAAAAATTGCCAAAGACATTCTAGCCATACCTGCATCTACCGTTGCATCTGAGAGCGCATTTAGTATGGGTGGTAGAGTAATCAGTCCTCATCGTTCAAGACTTCATGCAAACACCGTAGAGGCTTTGATGTGCTTGCAAAATTGGATTCAAGGAGAGTATTCAGGTAACAAGATGTTTAATTGTTTTTTTTTTTTTTTATTATTAATAATATTTTACTCCCATTAAAGTAGTATGTACTAAATTGTATATTTTCGATTATGAACTTATGATGAAGGTCTTGCTTTGGAAAATGCTCAAGCTTGTGCTACCATTTTAGAAGATGAAGATTCTTTAGATATGAGCAGTGGCGGTGGTGGACTTAGTGGTAGCGAGGTCGTTGACTTGGATTCGGTAATAATCAAAACTTATTAAAAAAAATTCTGTGTTAATATTCATTATATGGTCTTACTTACATTTTTTGTACTCTTGTAGGATGATGACGATTTCATGGATATTTGAAGAAAAAAAGGGACTTGATGACAAATCTCACCTCTTTGGCTCATTGCAAATTCATTGCTAATTTGCTACTGTAATTGTGTTCTAGTCATTAGTTCATTTTTATGTTATTGACATATTTGAGTAATTTGACACCTAGTTGGTGTACTACTGTAATATTATACATTTATTGAAGGTTGTAGTACTTTTGTTTTCCGATAATAAATTATGATTTCGGTAAATTATAATTTCATTGCAAGTTTAATAGCTTTCATCCGTTTAGCATCCGATCCATCCATTTCACCCGCGGATGATGGGTGGATCGGATATGGATGATGGGGTAAGCGGGTGGTGGGTGGAGCGGATGGCGGGTGCGGATGGATGCGGGTGAAGGTCCATCCGATCCAAATCCGACCCGTTGCCATTCCTAGTCCAGCTACCTAGCTACAAGTATACAAGTAATACAACTATACAAAAATACAATAAAGTTTAGGATATTATACAGTTACCGAAAAAGATGCACCAAACAAAAAACACACAATATACCAAAAAACTCCCATCACATCCATGACACATTTACACCCACAACATAATAACATTATATTTTTTACAACAACAACCTCCGTCTTTAATAAATAATCAAAAGCAAAAAGTTCCAAAGTTGGCCAACGCTGAAAAAACCAAATGGAATACCAACCACCTTCATCATCATCTTCTTCTTCTCCATCCCCATCCCCATCCCCGTCTTCGTCATCGAAGACGGAGGAGCTTGACTTTCCACTCCACGCAATCGGGTTCGAAATCGACGAAGTGTCTCCCGCTAAAGTCACCGGACGTCTCCTTGTCACCTACAAATGTTGCCAGGTAACTTTAATTTCCTTTTGATTTATTGTTTTCATTTTTGGATGATTTTGTAGAATAAAAATTGGTTAAATTAGGAGTGACAGTTTCAGCAATAATTCAGCTGATACTTTCTTATCGGCTCTTTCTATTTGTCCTTCTAAAAAAGTTGCTACTTTTATATACAACTAGTACTTTGTTTAGAAAAAATTGGCACGTAACATAGTAATACCATACTTCGGTAATTTATCTTACCAAGTAAAAATCCAAATGTTTTCAGTTTTGTATTTTGGATTTGGAAAATTTACAAATTGCAGCGATTTAAAGTTCATATTTTGCAAATTGCAGCTATTAAACTTACATTATTTTTTTGCTAATTCCGAGCTCAATTAGGACCCCTAAAGACTAAAATGGTCCATAAAACCTTAAACGAAGATTTTTTGACATGTTAATCGATGAAAAACTTGAATTGAACTACAATTTACAATTTATACGAACTTTTGGACTACAATTTGCAAAAAAAAAATTTGGCTACATATTGCAAAATACGAATTTTAAATGGCTGCAATTTGCAAATTTTTCTTTGGATTTATATTTATTATAAAAATATATGGAGTAGTAGTTAATTAATTAGCTGATATTTAATTGAATTGATTAATTTTTTGGTGATCAAAGTTCCAAAATTATACCATGTTTATATATTGATATACTTAGCTAGCAATCTTTTTTTTTTTTATTTCTTTGTGGCCTAAAATACTCCGTCTCATAAGAAATTTTAAGGAGATGTTACATAAGCCTTTATGACATTAAATATCATACTCTGTGCGTCATAAATAATTAAATACGAGTATGTCTTATTTCACCCAAAATTTTTGTTCATACATACATGGAAAAGCTTTATTTTATTTAACAAGTCAAATTTTCTAGTTATTAATTAAAAGTCATATTTCATCTTATCTACTCAAATTATTTAATTCATTTTATTATAACCTTTATTTTTTTGAGACAATTTTTTTTGTAGATAATATAATAAAGCTTTATTTAAATTAATTTATAAAATGAACATTCACTATTTATTGTACTTTTAATAAAAAAAAAATTCACTATTTTGTCACTTACATTCACCTATAATGAATCAAACTCTATCATCTCATTATTTTGGTATTATTCATCTTTCTAAAAACATGTGCACAATGCAAATAAGTTTTTTTTTTTAATTTTATTTATTTATTTATATTTATTATTATGTTATTATTATTATTATGTTATTATTATTATTATTATTATTTTTTGAAGATGGAGGTAGTACTTTATACCTACTACATGATTTTATAATTACTCTCCACTTGAAATTACTTTACAATTGTCAAATTTATATCTAGGAACTTTGATGCAGCATTACTGACACATTGTTAGTTTGACAAGTTGGGGAATATTACTTGCTACTCTAATAGTTTAATGTGGGGTACAAAGTTACAAACTAAATAATGTACAAGTATGTACTTGTTTGTTACTACTTACTTTCATACGGATGACTAAGCTACCATAATACAAGTAATCCCTATCTTATTACTCTATCCGTTTTTAAATACTTGCTCCATTTCTGTATGCGTGGAGTTTTAGGAGAAATTGGAGAAAGTAATAAAATAGTGGGGTAAGGAAAAAATTAAAAAATTGTAAAAAGCAAAAGTAGTTGAGAGAATTAAAGGAGATAGTATATGAAATTAATAATTTTTTTATTTTTATTATTTTTTTTTATGTTGGGCCCATTAGGTGAGAGAAATGAATTAAGTATTATATAAGATTTTCAAATAAGGAAATGGAATAAGTATTTAAAATCGGCCAAAAAGAAAAGTATAGCAAATATTTAAAAACGAAGGGAGTAAAAGCTTAACTAAACACTTATAAATAGTGTTACGCCAATTATATGTAACTAGGGCAGTCAACGCGCGCGTTGCGCGCAAAATGGCTAGCCATTTCGAGTTAGCTTTTTTCAGCTTGTGTTTAGGAATGGCAATATCCACTTATCACATGTGTACATAATTATCACAAGTATAGCTAAAACTTGGTAGTGTTTGGGTGGAACAACGATTACTTTAGTTGTGGACGATTACTATGTTTAAAATAAGTGTTTTTTTTTTTATTAAAGCCTTACAAATTTAGGCCATAGTTTTAAGGTTTATTGGAACAACTAAAGCATCTAACCTAACGCATAATATTCTTAAACCATAACCTTGAAAATGTTACAAACAAAAGGTTCAAAAGCAACAATTACAACCAAACATTGAGCATAATATGTTGTATGTGGCAGTGTTCTTGTATGAAGAAACACTGTGTACTTATTCATGTTGTTGCTAAGTTGTTTTAGTAGAGTCTAGGAAAAGGAAATGGCTTTGATAGCCCACTGTAGAACCCGAAGTATAGTTAGGGATGTTGTTGATGCAATCTAAAAGTACATTAGCTTGGTTGCCAAGGTGGTAGTTATTACTTCAAATTCTTGCTAGTCGCCGTGTGAAATAATGCATTGAACAATAATACTAACCTTTTTTTAAAGGTGAAAGAGACATTAAGATTAAGGAAAAATAGGAAAGCCAAGTATATAATTTGTTGGAATTATAAAAGAACTATCAGTTTCCTCAAAAAAAAAAAAAAAACAAAAAAAAAAAAAAAAAAAAACTCTTGCAAGTTACAAACTCTAGCAATTCTTGAGCTTGGTTTTAATTAGAATTGAATTGATAATAGGAAACTAATGCACGGAATTTGAAAAGAGTTACAATTATGGTTTATGGGAATAATTATTACAAATTATTTTACGCTTTCTATGACAGATTGACAACGTAAGATGTTGTGCAATAAATTAAATATAGCCTCCATTGATTGGCGCACTTTTGGGTTGTGCTTCATCTTCTCTGGGTTTTCTTCTACTCAGGGATGGTGAATAAAGATTAAGAAGATAAGAAATTAAAGCGCAAAACTCATTAATGGGTATGGATTATAAAGAGATAAGAAGGTAAATAAACATTTTGAAGGGTAAAAAGGTCCGTGCACTATTCATAAGAACAACTTTCCACTTTTTATAAGGTAGGGATACACACTAGCATTTATGCATGCAAATTTATTTACATATTTTCCCTCTTAAAATTTACCGATAATTAAAATTGTGATATAAAGCCAAACTAAAAGAAATACTTGGGCATGGCAAGCTATGCCATACCCCAAATGTCGCGGTTCTATATATGAGTGTCGCGGTTCTATCTGTCCCAAAAAGTTTTCCCATTTAAATTATCTTGTTGATGGAGTACATAGTTCGTTACATCAATTGCTTGGTAAGATTCGATCCTTACACCTATATGATGTAAGGTAAGACTCCTATTAGTGAGTTAAACGTCAGTTAATAAAAATGAATACACGCAAATTATGGTATAAACATAAAACAATAACCATTAACTTTAGACCGGTGATGGAGTATAGGATTATTAATAATTTACCGTTTATGAATGGCTTATAACTTTATAAGGTGTTAATTCAACTTGATCTAATTCATCAAATAAGTTCAAATTTTGAGTACTTACAATTTTGATTATAAGTTTCAATAAGTTAGTCATCTTTAACGATTAATGGATACGCAGCCATTCAAGGTGTTACATGGAGGAGTATCGGCGTTGATATCAGAATCATTGGCGAGCATGGGAGCACATTTAGCAAGTGGGCTAAAGCGAGTGGCCGGAATCCACCTTAGCATCAACCATGTAAAGCGGGCCGAGCTAGGTGACCTAGTTCTAGCGGAGGCCGTTCCCATCACACTTGGCCGTACCATTCAGGTCTTTCTTATGCTTTTGTTTCTTTTATGCTTTTGTTATTGTCCTTGTGACCTTTTGGGCCAACTTTTATACCGTATGATTGATTATATGAAGCAAACTCTATCTCAATGACTTGTTGTAAAGTCGAAGAACTAGTCAACTGATCTAACTTCCTATGAGTCCTATCTCTTATTTTAACTTGAAACGATGGGAATATCATTAGTCTATTTAGAGTCGTTATCTATACAAAGTTTTAAAATAAATATTTTGAGGGTATTGACAATTAGGTGAATAGTAGTATAAGATGTTGATGTACTAAGAAATTTATAAAACGTTCATAGTGTAGTATAATTATATTTAGTGGTAGATGTTGATTTATTGATTTACATACATTTTAATAAGAGGCAAAATTTCACCTACCATACTACCACCCTCTTTAATTAAGTCTTTATTATAGGATGATAAAAAACGTTGAACTTTAACTAGGATGGGAAAATTAAGGAGGTCCACTAAGTCCATCCTCATCTACCAATTGAGAATTTGAGGTTAGGTGTGGGAATAATTATTGACATGTTAGCATCTTCCAATCAATGAAAGTGACGAATGTATTTGTGAACACGACCTTTGTTTGTTATTAGTAACGTGCAAATTAAATTGATGATGAAGCCAAATTAAAGATCGATGAATAATCTTCCTTTAGCTATCGACATGTCATAGTCTCATACGTAAATTATCACGTAAATTATCTTATATGGTACAACCAATTGTATAATGCAAATAAAACATCCTCATTCGTCTAGCAATAATGGTACTAAGTGCCCTTCTGATATTTTGGAGGGTGTTTAATGTTTTTGTGAAACAAGAAAGAATTTTGAAAAAAAAAAAAAGAGTTAATTTAACCAGTTTAGAGAGCTCATACTCGAATCCATATAAAAGCTAAAGAGTATTTTGATTTTTTCGATAAAAGAGCTTTTTTAACGAGTTTATTGAGCTTAACTAGCTAATTTGTAAAAAGTTGAAAAATAGAGCATTTTAGATTAGTTAATTGTAAAATTTAATACAAATGACAAATATTCTACAAGTTATTGTTTTTAATTAAATATAGTTATTAATAGTGGTCAAAATAATTTACTATGTATAAAAATAGTGTAAAAGTTAAAATGAATATGATACAGAGTCAGGGAGTCACATACTGACCGCAACATGCAAGTGTAACTAATGGTAAATATGTCGCCATTGCATTTGTTCAGGTGTGGGAAGTGCAACTATGGAAAACAAACTCCAACAACTCAGAGAGCAAATCCTTGGTATCATCTTCCCGTGTAACTCTGATTTGCAACCTTCCTGTACCAGAACATGCAAAGGATGCAGACAAACATCTTCGAAAATATGCCAAGTTATGAGTTTCAAGTGATCAGTAACACACTGTAGACGATGAAGTTCACATGTTGGTATATATAAATGGTCTAAACCCAGATCACTCCCAACTCACACGACACAAGAAGGCTTGCAGCATTGCGCCATTGTTATGATCTCTCGTCCGATCCCCTGCCTGAGGGATGGTACATAGTTGGACTAGTGGATCATTCTGACTTTGTAATTTAAAGATGATAACAATGATTTAAACATATTGACTGAAGTTATTACATTATTATGCTATACTTTCTCAAAAGATCTATCTTTTGTTACTCATACTCTTAACAATGGTCTCCATATTTAGAGATGCGAAAAACAACTCAAAATATACCATCCAAAGTAAAACAGAACTCCCTTGACAGAAAAACCAAACATGTATATAGAAAAAAAATCTGGAAAAGATTGAGCTCTTGTGATTGGCTTGTGATTGGCTAAAAGTCTAGCAGAAATGATCCATGATAAGCAAAAGACATCGCAAAGATCAACTGGAATTTCATCACCGGATGATAAACATGATGCTTCTAAATTTCTAATACTCATCACATTTTAACACAAATATGAACTGGCAACTTACAGTTCATTTTCTAATGTAAAGCTGAACAAGAAGGATTGGTAAAGCAATGAATTAGACCTATTTTTTCTTTTTCCCACCCTTGCCAGATTTTGCAGGTGCATTACTAGAGCTGGAAGTTGGTTCTTGCTTCTTTGTAGTTCTTCCAATATGACGAGGTACCATTTCTGCAATTTTCAACATCAAATGCTTTCCTGTACAGCGGCAGTCAAAAAGTGAAGATAATAAGTCGCTGAAAATTTTACATTTGTAATTTCAATGTAAAAGGAAAATATCATAATCGATATATTCCAGCAAGAATATAGTTAAACTATGCACATGGGACGAACTTTCATTATAATCATTCTTCCACCCAGCATAGTTTCCTCTGTTTGTAAGATGGCACATAAATATGTTCCCTATGTTTTCTTATCATTCAACAAAACCACTCTGGCATCGTGACCCATGTCAGAGCATAGCAGTTTAATAGCAGTGGGAGGAAAATGAAGAAAAAGTGCTCCTAACTTTTATACAAGAAAGTTGAAGACTATCTCAGTTCAAAAGAAATATCAGTAAATAGGATTTTATAGTGGATTGAATAGTCAGAAAGACCGATAAATTTAGTGAAGGAATAGCAAGCGCTGTAAGGCTAAGCCAATAGATGTTGAAAGCTGAATCAGTGCAGTCCAGCATAATGTATATTGTATACCAAATCTTCTAAAGCAATTTTTTTTTTTTTACTTATTATACCAAATATATTTACAGGTGAAATAAGTTTTTAAGATCATGCTATTGTCATCCAAAACATCAACATAAAACACAAAAATGAAGATTTCCTTTTCAAACAGAAAAGTCAAATAATTACAAGGCAAGTTGTGAGATAATTGCTTTTATCCAGACCTCAACCTCAACCTCAACAGCAGGACCATACTTGAGAAGTTGAGGAAATTTTATCTCATCTTTGTAATGCTCAATGTTAGACAACGGTAAGTACTATATTTATTCTTGGAATGTACAGCAATTTTATGTATATCAGCACAAAAATGATTATAACTCCAATGCAAAAATCAAACTGAAACAGATTGTGTGTGGCAAAATACACATATCCCAAACCATCAAAACATTTAACTGCAGATCAGATTCTTTTGCAAGTGCTTACAATGTTAACATATTGTTAATCTTTGGTACCCCCTCAGCTCATCCCCAAATAAAAGTTTCACTTGCCTTCTACACATGTTTTTAATAAGATGAAAAAAGGGGTTTGGTTGAATGAAAAGAATTTGGGTGAATTGGATGATTGAAATTGTATAAGAAAAGACGTGAGGATTGGTGGATTTAAAAAAAAAAAAAAAACTGTACTTAGACTTATATTAGAGAACAAGAATTTTGGATAAATTTGGACTTTAATTTGGGGGTGTGGAACACTATAAAAATGATAACCTAACCTACTGTTAAACAAGATTGTTCATAGAGAGAGGAGGAGGAGGAGGAGGTACAAGAGAATCTCAAAAGATGTCTTACACATGTAAATGATAGAATGCATTTGTGACATGACAGTATGACACCATTGACACGCCTTTAGGCTTTGTTTGGTAACTTGGTTGATGGGATTTGGCCAGGTATTAAAAATATAAGATGTTTCCTTTCTCTTCCCTTTATTTACTGACATTTACCAAACATTAGAAATTAAAATGGTTTTTCCTTCCCATCTCTTCATTTCCTTTCTTTTCCATTCCTTTATTAATTTGGTACCAAAAAGGGCCTTAAGCCAAGAAATTCACAGCATATATTTGAAATTAATTTCACTAGCCTAATCCATTTCTTTGGTTCATCTTACAATAACTTGCACTCACAGGCTCACACAACCAATACTATCTCTGCTACTTAAGGTGGACCAGAACTAATGATACCATTCTCCATCATGCAAAGCTCTGCATCACCTTGGTCCTCAAACTAAGGCCATCACAGAGCCCCTAGACCTTCAAAATAGCGCTCTTGAGTCTTGTCTCATTATTCTCTCTTTTTAATTGTTATTTAAGAACATACGTCCACACTTTAGCAATTATTCATAAGAAATGCAACATCATTATAACGTTACACCTTATCCACCACCCATCACACACATAACAGTGGGATTATTGTACACTTCCTTAGTACAGGGCTTTCTTTTTTATTTAATCATTAAAGTTGATCTTAATGAGTATATATCCTGTTATAATACAAGCAACAAAAACCAGTAGTTAGATGAAAAGAAGTTGAAGAACCTTGCAAACTCTAAGGGGACGAGTAAGCAAAGGTATCTTTAAATGTAAATGGATTCAAAAACCAAAAGAACATGTGATCCCAAGAAGGAATCACTGAACAAAAATAATTGACATTACCAAGCACTCTAGCTTGGGATTAATAGGAGCAAAAACTCAAAAAATGTCAACTCTCCCAATACAACTCAGACCAAGATACGCCAAGTGTCCAAATAAGTACAGTCTAGAACTAGAATAATCAAAATGGCAATCACCATGTCAAACTCCTCTTGAATAGAGTTGCATTGTCACTTGTAAAAACAATTAAAAGGGTCAACCAAGGTCTTAGATATCGAAGCTCCGGCTGAAATAGAAAATATCTAAAGCATACTAGACCACTGACAGATTTAAGTTAAGACTAAACAAATACGAAGCATACATACTACAAAATGGAACAGGTTCATGGTGATATCTTCTAAATAATGGGATCGATGAGACTCTTGAAAGTTCTCTAGAGTAGATTAAAAACTTAGTTAATACTCATTGTCTACAAGTAAACTTCCTATTAAGTTTGGGAAAGCACATTAAGGGTTATAGTAGGGTTGGGATACTGGGATAGGTTTTTTTTTTATTTTTTATTTTTTTATTTTATTAATAAATAGTGGAGAAATAAGAGTAAAATTTTAATTGAAAGATAAGTGGATGATAGGGCCCACATCACATGGGATGTAAAGAAAAACGTGAGAATGAGATTGTGCTAAGCGTAAAAGTCCTTGGAGCCTAGGCGCAAGGAAAGACACACGCCTTATCTAGGTAAGGACACTTTTTGTATAGTACAAACTAATAAGTTTAGTTTTTTTTTTTTTAAAAAAAAAAAAATCTAAAACAAAGAATTATGAGAAAAGGTGAATGGGCTATAAGATACATAGCTAGGGTTATTCAAATGGGATTGGGGGATATGAGGTTTCTCTCTCCTCTAATATTAAAGTATATCTGAATGTCACAAAGTCACAGGTTGTTTTACTTAAGAAAATTATCTTACATATTAGCTACTTTTGCCTTACCACATAAGAGCATAACCGCATAAGGCGCAAGAAGCAGCCTAGAAAAAAGTGCATAGGCGCACGCCTTTGCATCTCACAAAGCTAAGGCCCCAGCTCTAACGCCTCGCTTTCTAAAACTAAGGTTGCTAAGGTCCACATCACTTGGGTTGAGTAGGTTAAGTTTTAATTTTAAGTTACAGGAATATTCTTTGGGAACAAAAAGTTATACAAGATTTTTTCTTTTTTGGTAATGGAATACTAATAACCTCAATTAATCAATCAATCAAAACCTTAATCCCATAAGTGGGATCAGCTACATGAACCAAATTTGATTATTCCGTGTGGTCATCCACAAAAATCTTCCTCCTCTAGCCCTTACGATACAAAACCTCATCCTCATGCAAGTACATATACTTCATAACTTCTTCCAACCAAGTCATTTTCGGTTTCGGTCTCCCTCTCCCTCGTTTAACCCCTCCATGGTCCCACTCTTCCACTCTTCATACCGGTGCACCCTCGGGTCTCCGTCTTACATGCCCAAACCAATGCAGACGATTTTCCCTTAATAACCTCAATTAATCAAGGCTATAAATTCACATTGGACATCTATGTATGAAAATTAGTAGGATGGCATATATACATATATAAAAGTGGTTACTTTTGGAAAAAAAGGGCAATCTTCAAAAGATTAAACAAGCAGTTGGTCACTTGGTCAGATAATCAGGAATAGCAGTTGATCAGAAAAAATGGTATAAAAACATGAGGTAAGCCTATCCCTAAACTTCCAACCTCAGGAACAAAAGTTTTGCTAAAATGTCCTCTAGGACTTTTCAACAATAAATTGTCAAGCTGATCACATTGTATAAGATGGATTACAGACTTTACAGATGCAATTCACTAATTCAGAGCCCAATAAGTTTACTCTTTTCCCTTAAATACATAAGAAGTGCTCAGTATACAGTGTATGAAATTATAACCTAAACATGGAACTTCAAATATTCACCCAATAAATCACTTATCCTCTGCCCAGGACTATGTAATGAAAGTTTGGAAATAGAGCACATAAAACCAAGTCCACCACATGCTTATTGTTTGTTTGTCAATAGAGGTAAAACACTAAAACCATACTGGCCAAAAGATCATGACATCAACAAATTTTAGCAGATTCACACAATCACGCTTGGAATGGTAGAATGGGAGCACTAAATCTATGGCTCAGTAGTACAACAAAGAAACTATCACACAGAGGATGACAAGATTGACAATAGATGCCTGTTTACCTACAAAAAGCATCCAAGTTCTAATAAACTCCATTAGCCAAGACATACACTATCTACCTTTGATCTCAACTTAAAGGTAAATTCAATTGTATCTTTACTCTCAGCTCTTTAAGGGTCCATCAAGACACACACTATCTACCTTC